GGCCTCCCCGGTGGCGCAGCGGTTGAGCGCTGGGTTCGAAGCTGCCTGCAGCCTCTGCAGCGCCGGTTTGATCCCCGGCAGCCGGGCAGACCTCTCCTGCCGCCCGCTGCTCCCCTCAGCAGTGTGCTTCGGTCCTTCTGCCTGCTCTGCTCCCCGCTCTGGCTCTGGTGAATTCTCTCACCCTCCCGCGCTTCTGACTGTACCCAGTGCATGTATAAACAAAACAAACAAACAAACAAATAAATAAATGAAAAACATGCCTCTATAAAAAAAAATTAAAAAAAAAAATTGTGTACTTTTTTTTTTTTTTTAAAGATTTATTTATTTATTTATACAAGCACTGGGTACAGTCAGAAGCGCGGGAGGGCGAGAGAATTCACCAGAGCCAGAGCGGGGAGCAGAGCAGGCAGAAGGACCGAAGTACACTGCTGAGGGGAGCAGCGGGCGGCAGGAGAGGTCTGCGCGCCATGTGGGACCCTCCTCTGGTGGCCGGGGAGCAGCTGGGGATGGAACCGGCGCTGCAGAGGCTGCGGGCAGCTTCGCAACCCAGCGCTCAACCGCTGCGCCATGGGGGAGGCCCCTGTTTGGGTTTTTTTTGAGTTGTGTAAGCTCTTTGTAGATCTTAGATCAATCAGTCAGGGCCAGCAGTTTGAAAAGATTTTCAGTTGGCCAAGGAGCCAACATAGGCATGTTGTTGCATGTTCTGTTGTTGCATGTTGCATGTTCTGCCACAGTGAAGTGTGTTGTTTTGATGAAACATGAGGGCCCCGGAAATGGCCAGGAGGACAGTGGGCCCAATGGTCCCCTGTATTTTTTAGCTCTCAGCCTGCTGATAATAAAGCTACCAGCTAGAAATGCCTGGAGAGACTCACCTGGGCCCCTGATAGGCTGCCCACAGTATCCCCTCTCCTTTAAACCAGTATTGTGGACAGTACACGGGCCCTTGGGGTTCTTATGATAGCCAGAAGCCCTTTAGCAAAAATCATCAGAAAACTGAAAAAAAAAAAAAAAAAAAAAAAAAAGGATTATTACTTCCAGTATCTGGAAGTTACACAGAACTTCTGAGCCACAATGAGGCTGTGGGTGGAAAGAGCACAGGAGCTATGGTTGAGTGTGGGAAATCTAGAATTTCACTGGCACACTCTCTGTTGGTGAATTCAAATCATAAGACCAGAAATTTAAAGTGCAAGAAGAGACAAACAAAGGAGAAAGGATAATGTCTCTTTGGCTGTGCAGAAGCTTTTCAGTTTGATGTAATCCCAGGTGTTTATCTTTTCCTTGACTTTCTTTGCTTTGGATCATGAGTCTTTAAAGATGTTATTGCGATGTATGTCTTTTAGTGTTTTACCTATATTTCTCATATTTCTTCTTCTGTATATTTTATGGTTTCAGGTCTTATGTCCAGGTCTTTTATCCATTTTGAGTTGATTTTTGTGCACGGTGAAAGTTAGTGGTCTAGTTTCTTTTTTTTTTTGCATGTTGTGGTCCAGTTTTCCCAGCACCATTTATTGAACAAACTGTCCTTGTTCCATTGCATATTCTTTGCTCCTTTGTCAAAGATCAGTTGTCCATTTAAGTGTGGTTTTATTTCTAGGCTCTCTATTTGGTTCCATTGGTCTGTGTGTCTGTTTTTGTTTCAATACTGTAACAGGGTGGTCCCCAGGAAAGGGGGAAGTTCCAGGTTCCCTGCCCCACCCAAGGGAGGGTGGAGCTGAGCAGGAAGAGGAGAAGCTGGAGAAGAGACTGAGGAAGGAAGGAAGCAGGATGGAGCCAGGAGACCTGGAGGAGGCCCATGGAGCCTAGAGACACGTGAAGAAACTGCGCTTGTCTTTGGGTTGTGGACTGGGTGACACAGACGTGGGTGAGACCCATGGGGAGGTGACAATGGCAGCTTTTATCTTGATGTTGATTTTGCTCTTTTCCTTCCGGGCTTGTCTGGTTGTTTCTGACCCTTTTCTGTGGGTCCCCACAGGAAGATGCTTTAGACTTGTGGCAGGCTTTGGGGCCTTGTTCTGGGCCAATCCCATATGGATGGACTTTTACCCACGAGGGGACGGGTAACTTTGGGTGCTTCATTTAGAAACTAGACTCTTTGCCTTACCTGTATTGTTTCCTAGTTTTATTAAAGTTCCTTCCCATTAAAGTCTCATATGTTTTGTGTTGATGCGGCGGATGGCAGAACCCATTTAGAATAGGCAGGTTTGCGGGGCTTGGGCTACCCCTCTCCCTGTCCTATAACAATACCAAACCATTTTAATTATTATGGCTTTGTAATATAGCTTGAAGTTTGGAAGTGTGATACCTCCTTTCTCCTTTGTATTCAACAGTAAGGCTTTGGCTATTCGTGGTTTTTTGTGGTTCCATATGAATTTCATCAGTATTTGTTCTGTTTCTTTGAAGAATGTCATTGGGATTTTTATTGGAATAGCATTGAATCTGTAGATTGCTTTTGGGAGGATGGCCATTTTAATAATGTTAATTCTTCCAATCCATGAGCAGGGGATGTCTTTCCATTTCTTTGTGTCTTCTTCTATTTCTTTTAACAGTGTTTTATAATTTTCTTTGTATAGATCTTTCACCACTTTTGTTAGGTTTATTCCCAAGTATTTTATTTTTTTTGTTTCAATTATAAAAGGGATGGTTTTCTTGATTTCTTCTTCAGATTGATTGTTTGTGTATAGGAAGGCTACTGGGCCCCTGATAGGCTGCCCACAGTAGCCTTGTGTGATGTTTGTGTGTTGATTTTGTATCCTGCTACTTTACTGAACTGGTTGATTATTTTGAGTAGTTTTTCTGTGGATTTTTTAGGGTTCTCTATGCATATTATCATATCGTCTGCAAATAGAGACATTAACCAAAACAGAGAGACACCCCACTGACTGGGAAAAAAATCTTTGCACTCCAGTCAACTCAGAGGGGCCAGTCATAAAGATATACACAGAACTCACAAGACTCAACAAAAACAAAGTAAACAATCCAGTCAAGAAACGGGCAGAAGAACTTAAAAGACATTTCTCTAAAGAGGAAATGCAAATGGCCAACAGGCATATGATAAAAGGTTCAACATCCCTTATCATCAGGGAAATGCAAATTAAAACCACACTGAGATACCACCTTACACAAGCAAGAATGGCACATGTCAAATAAGCAACAACAAATGTTGGTGAGGATGCAGCGAAAAAGCAGCTCTCCTGCATTGCTGGTGGGAGTGCAAACTGGTCCAACCACTATGGAAAGCTGTCTGGAGGTCCCTCAGACTGTTAGGGGGAAAGTGTGTCCTGAGCAAACTCCATACAGGCTTTGTGGATGCCACCCCCACTCCATCAAGACACTGGGAACTACAAATCCATGATCCCCAAAAAAGGAAGTTGCAAGGACCTAAGGGCGGAGTTAAGCAGCCATTTTATCAGTTTGTAAATAAAACAGCCGTGTTAGTGGGTTTTGGGGCACTTGGCTCATGTTCTTGGCCAGGTAGGTTTGGTCTCGGCGGTTCATTTGGGATTCCAGGTCAGCAAAATGGGTAGGACGCATTTAAGAATTCATCTCCCTCTTTTCTCCCTGAGTTGTACATTTCCTCATTTCCCTTTCCCTTGTAAATAAAACTTTGTTAACCTTTTGTGTGTGCCTGCAGTGAAAGTCCCTTTTAAGCATGCAGGTGAGGACCCACAGTCAGGCAACCTGTTTTAGAGTGGGGTTGCCCTGTAACAAGTCTACTAAATATAGAGCTAACATACAACCCGGCAATCCCACTACTAGGGATCTACCCAAAGGACACAAAAACATTGATTCAAAAGAGCACCTGTACCCCTATGTTTATTGCAGCACGATTTACAATAGGTAAAACGTGGAAACAACCCAAATGCCCAAAATAGATGACTGGATCAAGAAGATGTGGCATATATACACAATGGAATATTATTCAGCAATCAAAAAAGATAAACTCATGCCATTCGCAGCAACGTGGATGGAGCTAGAAGGAATTATGCTCAGTGAAATGAGCCAGAAGGAAAAAGAAAAATATCAGATGGGTTCACTTATAGCAGGAATATAGGGGAACCCAATAAGACATCAGTGTAAAAAAATAACAACAGTACAAAACACAACAAAGCAAAAACGGACAATTATAAACCAGAGACATCCTGCAGGGGAGGAGGAGGGAGAGGGATCAGAGGGATCCCTCTGATCACAGGGTACTGAGGTGATGGTGCACGGGTGCATTGGGGAAGGAAACTCTATGGGGACTACACTTGAGGGGGCGGGGGGAAGCAAATATTGTTTAAAAATGAACAATGATGTAAAAAATAAAAAAAGAGAAAAATCAATCAATAAAACCTATTAGAACAAGGATCAGAGCAAGGAGACCCCTAAAAGGGCTAATATAGCAATCCAGGTGAGCAATGACTTAGACCAATGTGGCAGCGGTGGAAATGCTGGGAAGTAAATCCAACACAAAATGCATCCTAAATATTCACATTTGAGATAGATTTTGGAAAGCGTCTATGCCGACCACCATACCACCAATGTTGTAGTCAAGATAGATTTTGGAAGTGGAGCTACTCCTGGATACATTTCAGATGGGTAGGTTACATATAGAATATGAGAGAAAGAGGAGTATCCATCAGGATGGCAAGAATTTAAATGGAATCATTAATGGAGGCAGGGGAAGTCATAATAAAGTACAGTTTTGGACACCTCAAGTTTAACATACCTACTAGACATCCAAGAACAGGTATGGAATACATTATTTTATAGAGTTCAGAAGGTTGCACATACCTGGAGAAACCAATGTGAATGTTTTCATGGACAATGCATTCAAAGCTTTAGAACTCAAGTCACCAAGGAAGTAAGTGTATTTGGTTTTAAATGAGTTTGCAAATGGGAATGTATTAGATTAATGGTCTATGGTAAATATGCCAAAAAATGTTAGTTGTTGTTGTTGTTATTGTTATTATCACAGTCCTTGAGGATTTCATTCTTTCAAAATTCTTCTCTCTTACCAGGTCAAATTAAGTCTTGATACATCTCAATAAAATTTCTTTGACAAAAGGAAAAACAAAAAGGAGAAAGGAGAAACACACATCAGTTCTCACCAACCAGTTCCCTAAATTGCCAGGATCTGTAAAATAAAGAAGCCTCAGTGCGGGCGGCGGCCTGGCTCTTACCTAGTAGTGTGACTGCCTGTGTCGGAGCCAGAGCTCTTTGAAGTGGATGCCTTGGCACCAAACTCAAGTCATGCACGTGCATTATCAAAATAAAAAGCCAACTCTTAGAGTTTAAACCACATTCCGTAAGCTGGGCCTGGACCAAGATGCCGTTTATTGTGTGGCCCTCTACTTCCCTAACCTAGGAACCACGAAGACATGGCTTCCCCAGGCATCACTGTCAACTCAGACCCCATATCCAAGCGCCAAAAGGACAGCTAGGTATTCCTCTTCTCCGGGGTCAGGTCTTCTGTGTAAATGGCTGCCGGTCTTTTGGGAAAAGACAGGCATCTCATGACTGCATGCGCTGCAGCCAGTGGCTTGCAGAGGACCCTCCTGCATGGGATCTGGCTTCTCCTTAGCCAAGGGGGATCTCATCGTCTAAGACACTGGGTGAAAAGGGTTCCTGGAACCCATTCCAATGTGAGCGTATGGGGCTTTCCACACCTGCCAGCAGATCTCCGCAGGGTGTCTGAGGTCTCAACACAGCGCCTTACACGGTCTATAGGGCATCAGATTCCACAGGTAAGGCTCAGTTTCCCAAGACTCCCCTCTGCTTCAGACACCTGGTTGTTACCTGGGCTTCTGAACAACCAGCTACAGATGGAAGGGTTCCATGCCCACCTCCTCAGACTTCAGGTACCAGCCATGAGCTCAGACTGTGCCCTGTGCTGCTGCAACTGGCTGCAGATGAGACATTCTCAACAATCCCCTCTTAAGGTTCAATTAATCTGCTCAGGTGGCTCATAGAACTCAGGAAATCATTTTACTCACTAGCTCACCAATGCGTTACACCACGCACTGAAGGGTTCAAATCAACAGCCAGATGGAGAGACGCACAGGGCAAGATAGGAGCTTCCATGCCCTCCCCTCAAATCTTCATGTGTTCTAAGCCAGGCGCTCTCTGAACCCCCTTCTCTGGGTGTGTTACAGTGGCTTCATTATGCAGGCATGGCTCATTAATCCATCAGCCATCAGGGATTGATTGAACCTGTACGCCTGCCCCCCCAGCAGATGCCTAGGGGTACGATCGGAAGTTCCAATCCACTAATCCCATGGTAGGCTCTCCTGGCTATCATTTCCAATCTTAGGTACTTCCAAAAATCACCTCATTCAAATAACAAAAGACATGGTTGTCAGTCTCCAAATTGAGGAAATTGAAATTCCAAGGTGTGGGGCACTGTGAGTCGGGCTGTCACAGCAGGCAAGGCTTTCAGGCTGCTTGGGGACTACTTCCCCAGCCACCCAGTCAATTATTCATTCCTTCTGGTGGGAGAAATGATGTAACTCCCTTGTTGGCAGCCCCCGTGGGGTGCTACCACCCATGAGATGTCTTTGGTGTCTCCCCAGCTCTCCAGCGGTCAAGCCCTCCATCCTGGTTCTCATCATGATAACTGCCTCCACCTGGCTCCCAAGAGGGCTCTCCTGGGCCTATTTGGGATCCTGTTGGCTCCTGCTGTCCAGAAGCCGCTGCAGTTATGTCTTCTACTGTCAGCGTGGATCTTGGAGAAATGCTTCTCAGTGATGCCAGTGTCCCTCTACAGTGCCCTCTTTTTGGAGAAAAAGCCTTCTCTTTTTGGTAAATGGGTCCTTTTGAAGAACACGTTTGAAGGGTCTTGGGGCCCATCAAAATATCTATGCCACCAGGCCTCCCCTGGTGGCGCAGGTGGTTGGGTGCAGCGCTGTGAGGTTGTCCGCAGCCTCTGCAGCGCCGGAATGATCCCGGCTGGCTGGTGAGGGTCCCACATGGCGCAGCAGACTTCTCCTGTCACCAGCTGCTCCCCTCAGCAGTGTATTTCATCGACCTGCCTGTTCTGTTCCCCGCTCTGTCTCTGGTGAATCCTCTCACCCTCCCGTGCATCTGGCCTGTACCCTGGTTCTTGTATAAATAAATAAATAAATAAATCTTAAAAATATATATATATATATCTATGCCACCTCTAGCATGCCCTCCCCTGGGCATCTGGACCCTTTCCCTCACTATCAGCGCAGCAGCTCTTGCATTTCTGCTCCTTTAGCATGGCCATGGTTTTCTTAAAGCTTCCAGAGCCAAGCTAGCCATGTATTGGCACTTTTTTCTGGGAGCTCTGCCAAGTTAAGCAGTCCATGTGCCTCCCATATGGAGCCTCCCCGAACCAATTTCCCATTAGCTCCTGCTAACCTAGCCTTTCTGCTCTTCAGCCCCTGCCATCTAGCTTTGGCCAGGTGCTGTACGTCCCCAGCAGGGTTATGTTATTACACAATCCTCATTACTGGTCAAGTACCAGAAGGGTAAGTAGGGGCCAGATCTCAAAGGGATTTTCAAACAAGAGGAAAGCACCAGCCTTTAAGAGGGAGGATTAGACTCAGAGATGTCTAGGGGAACCTGGGCTTTCAAGGTTTTCTAGAGCTCAGCCTGGAAGTTCCTATCCCACATGTGAGGGTCCACTCCTTCCTATCCAGTATAATGGCCTTGGTTTACAGATGTGAAAGTTCAATCTTCATTCTAAGTCCAAAATCCTGGTTCAGTTCCCTCTACTTTGTCTGCCCTTATTATCAGCTGCCAAAGGAGGCCCCCTGGTGTCACTGCTGCCACTAGTTGGTAATTAATCACCCTTAGCTTTTCATTGTCTGTCTTCAGTGCACATGGTTGGCCCCCAGAACAGACCTCAAGAACACAGTTCTTTTATTTATTTTTCATTTTATTGTGGTAGGAAGACTGTGAAAATCAGTATACAGAAAGCCTATTTAAATGAGGTTGGCAGGCCAGAAGAGTGCCCAGAAATGCACAATCAGCAAACTATAGGCCCCAGCATGCTTTGCTTCTCTATCAGGAAGTCATGGTGTTCCCCTACAGTAGAAGGAAGGAGGTCTTTACCTGTAGGTTCCTATGAACTGGCCACTCATGTGTAACTGTGGCCTATTTGCTCTCTGCAAATCACAACAGAGCATTAGTTGGCTACCTATGGACAACATCCCATATCATGAGGCAGGCTCAAGGCCGCCTAGGCCACCATTGACTTGATTATGTGACTGTCTCCGTGGTGGTCTCAGGGTAACTCTGCCTGTGATAACATCAGCTTATATACTCTACTGAGCAAATGTCTCTTGACGTGTAGTCACAATGTCCCCTTGTCTGTTCCTTGTAAACCTTGCTCCCCTGCCCCCCAGACCTTATTTTTTTTAACGTTGTTTTTTTTTTTTTTTTAAAGATTGATTTATTTATGCATACAAGGACTGGGGTACAAGCCAGAGATGTAGGGGGTGAGAGGACTCTCCAGAGACAGAGTGGGGAACAGAACAGGCAGACTGACTGAAACACACTGCTGAGGGGAGCAGTGGGTGAGACAGGAGAGGTCTGCTGCGCCATGTGAGAAGCTCCCTGGCCGGCCGGGGATGGAACCCGGGCTGTAGAGGCTGCGAACAGCTTCATAGTGTGGTGCTTAACCCCTTGTGCCACCAGATCTTATTCCTCATACCATTGTCGCATGACCAGCTTTTACTGGCCTGTATGCTTTCAATAGATGACAAGAACTTCTGCTCAAGTAGCAGAGTCTTGCCTTGCAAACCTGCTCCACGACTGTGGTGTCCTTCTCATTCCTGCTGCAAGCGGCAACAAAGTTCCTGTTACAATATTTGCCCAGCAGCAGACCCTCCAAAGGCTATAAAAGGGAGTTTACATGTTTTGACCTGGGAGAGTGCATGTGTGTCTCCTCATGAGAACACTTTCCAAATTGCCTTTTTGTTGTTTCTAAATAAAATTTTGTCGGTGAAATAACTATTGTCTTTTTGAGATCAACAAGGCTTAACTTGAGAACTACGCTCAAAATTTTAAGTGTAGTTTTGTACAGTGGCCCTCTAGAGCTTACTCATCTTAACTGAAACGGAGGCAACTCCCCACAACCCAGTCCCTAGTAACTACCATTCCAACTCTCTGGCTCTGTGAATTTGACTATTTTTGATGCCTCATGAAAGTGGAGTCAGGTGGTGTTTGTCTTTTTGAGACCAGCTTATTCCACTTAGCATAATGTGTTCCTGTTGACACATTGCAGAAGAAGGCTTTGCATGTATAGACACCACATTTTCTTTATCCATTTGCCAATTGGGCATCTAATTTGTTTCCATACCTTGGCTGTTGCAATGAACATGGGAGTTCGGTATCTTGTGGTTTCAAGACTTAGATTTAAAAAATGCCCAGAAATGGAGTTACTGGATCATAAGTTGGCTCTATTTGTAATTTCTCGAGTTACTGCCATCATGTTCTCATAGTGGCTGCACCATTTTACATTCCCAGCAGTGCAAAAGAGTTCCATTTCCTCACCAACACTTTGTCTTTTGTGCCACAGTTCTCATAATTAACTTCTTCCCTGAAACGTCTCATAGGCCTCGGATATTGCATTCCCTTCCCCTGGATCCTACCCCAGTATCACCAAGGTGAAAGTCTTATCACTGCAGAGTGCCAGTGGCTCTCTCTGTCCTGTGATTACCAGTGTGGGGCCCTTGTTGCTGGGCTGCTGGCAGTAAGCCAGGGCAAAGTTCTGGTGTCCAGCAGGTTCTGAAAGTGCACTCTGTTCAAACTGCCTCAGTTGGTTTCCGCAGAAGCAGATTTCAGTGGGGCCCGCATACCAGGAGCAGCACCTGTGAGTGCAGAGGGCAGAGAGGAGTTGAGCCGAGCAGCAAGAGAGACCTCAGTCGCTTTCATGGCAGCATAGAGCTGGGGTAGCTCTCTGGAGATGTCCCAAATTGAGGAGAGGAGCTAGGCCTTTGTACTCCAAGTAGACCTCTTTCCAGATGTGGGTTGCCTCCGGGAGGGGGCCCAAATGTGAGCAAGGCGCTTCCGCTGATGGCTTCCTCAGGACTTAGTTGCAAGCTGGCAGCCACCAGAACTCCCGGCGTTTGGGGAAAGGAGCCCTTGGTCCTGAAGGAGCAGCTGGGCAAGACACCACACACTTCCTTACCAGTGGTTCTGCTCTGGTGTGGGACAGTCATGCAGAGGCCCCACACCCGCTTTGTTATGGTGGGCTTTGGCATAGACAAGCCCTGTTGGCCTGTTCGTTTTCCTGATGCTGTGCGGTGTTAGGTTAAGGGTAATGGGGTGGTAGTTCAATGGAAGAAACGAGAGGCTGCTGCAGTGTTTAGTACATGCAAGTTTTATTTATTTTCTTTAAAGATTTATTTATTTTTATACAAGAATCGGGGTACAGGCCAGATGCGCGGGAGGGTGGGTGAGAGGATTCACCAGAGGCAGAGCGGGGAGCAGAACAGGCAGACTGATGAAATACACTGCTGAGGGGAGCAGCGGGCAAGACAGGAGAGGTCTGCTGCACCATGTGGGACCCTCGCCGGCCGGTCGGGATCGAACCAGCGCTGCAGAGGCCTCAGACAACTTCACAGCACAGCCCTCAACCTCCTGCGCCACCAGGGGAGGTCCTATTATTTATTTATTTATTTATTTTAAGATTTATTTATTTATGCATACAGGAGCTGGGGTACAGGCCAGAGTTGTGGGGAGGTGTGTGTGCGTGAGAGGATTTACCAGAGACAGAGCAGGGAACAGAACAGGCAGATTGACAGAAGTACACTGCTGAGGTGAACAGTGGGTGAGTCAAGGAGTGGTCTGCTGCGCCATGCGGGTTGCTCCCTGGCCAGCCAGGGATCGAACTCGTGCTGCGGTGGCTGTGGATAGCTTCATAGGTTGCGTCTTAACCCCTTGCGCCTCCAGGGAGGCCCCCCAAGTTTAATTTTTTAAAGATTTATTTATGCATACAAGAACTGGGGTGTAAGCCAGAGGTGCGGGGGTGGGGTGAGAGGATTCACCAGAGAGACTGGGGAGCAGAAAAGGCAGATCCATTGAAATACACCGCTGAGGGGAGCAGGGGGCGAGAGAGATCTGCTGCACCATGTGGGTAGCTCCCTGGCTGGGCATGGAACTCGTGCTGCTGTGGCTGCAGATAGTTTCATAGTGCGGATGCTTAACCCCTTGCGCCACCAGGGAGGCCCGACATGCAAGTTTTGAAACTTGAAGTGGCATGGGGGTGGGGATGTAGAGGTAATAAAGCAGAATTGAATTTTACTATGTGAGGACTGGCGCCCTGCCCTGGCTCTGAGGATGGTAGTGTCTGCTGCTCTTGACACCGAAGAGGATTGTGGTTGGGCTCTGTCCCGCATTATAGAAAGAACATGGATGTCATGAAAGTATAGAACCAATCTAGAACCTTCACATTGAAGAGGAGAGACAGGAACAGGGTCAGTAGTGAGAAATCCAAAATAGCTCGGCAAGCTTCCGTCTCGGCTGCAAGTGCAGCTTGATCCTTCGTGACTTACTAAGGGCACACAGGTTTTCTTTCCATCGCCTTGAGAAGTTCCTTCCTGGGCACAAGACATTGGAGCCTTTGGTACTGATGCTGTGCAGGGACCCACCAGCCTCCACATAGCTGCCTCAGGCTCCTCTCCAAAGCTTCCAGTTAGAACCTGCTCAGAGGTGCCTACAGGGGAAACCTTCCGACTCGCCCGCACTGGACAGAAGAGGGACTCTGGCGTGCACACCCTGCAGAGGGGCAGTTGCTGTGCTTGTCAGACTGTGGTGGCAGCAGAGGGTATCTCCTTTGCCTTCAAAGTGCAGGTTACCCCTCTCAGGTTGCATTCCAAAGGACATTGATCTGGGGGTATTCTGTCCTTGCCAGGCTGGTTTCTCCCTTGGGGGAGGGTCAGAAGGTATTAAGACCAGTTTTCATGAAATGGCCTGCATGTAGCAACTCCAGTCTTCAGCCCAGCTTACTGCAGCCGTTCAGAAAACAGATTAGTCTTGAAACGTAAGCATTTGTGTGCAAGTCCAGCCGACCTGGAAAGCATCTGCCCATCACCAACTTGAAGACAAAGAGGGACGGTCCAGTAAGGCAATTTATTTCAAGTGCACACGAGCAGATCTGTTCCCGACAGTGCCCACCATGCCTGGGCAGGCCCGGGGGTGCCTAGACTTTCAGTCATGTTCAGCCTGTTCTTAGCCCAAGTTCACAGGCAGCCACTATTCCCGCACCTTTCAATAGCTCTGCAGGCACACGGCCACTCCCGGCCACTGCAGGCCCTCACCAGCTGGCTGGCCTAAGCTTGGCTTATTGAGAAGCCGCTAGCAGTGGCAAGGGCAGTCCACACTCAGATTTGAATATGCGACCCGACTTACCTTGCGCTTCTCGCTGGCCCTGGATGGCACTAACACTGAGTCCACTGCTGTGCCAGACAGACGGGCCGGAGTCCGGTCTCCTACTCCGTGCAGCGGTGTGGGCCATGCTTTGCTCATTTCACATGTGCCAGCATCTGGGAATTGTGCTTTCTCAGCCCCCCTTCCCTCCGGTTAACAATAGCACTCCTCTTCCTGAGGGGACTTCCTCTCCCTTTCCACATGGTCAAGAACCGTTCTTGCCCCAGAGCTCCTGCTGGCTCCTTTCCAGCACAACCTCCAGTTAAATGTCTCCTCTTTCAGGGACCTGCTGTGACCACCCAATCTAAAGTTGTCTCGGGCCTACCCTCATCCCCTAGCCTTGATACCTTCTATCCTATCACCCTGAAATCACCTTGGTGTCCCACTGATGAATTTCCCCTTTGCCTGAGACTACGAGCTCCAGAGAGCGGGGACCGTGCCCTCCCAGGCTGGGAGCCCCTGCAGGGGCACTCACTGTAAGGCCTTCTAGAGCCTGCCCCACCACCACGAGCCTGCACGTGACCTGAGACAGTCACGGAATGATGGTGGAGCCGCAGAGGTCTGAAACCACAGGCCCTTGCTACTTTTGGCACCTGGCTGTACACCACCTCCTTTTATCCCGGGAATTACCAGGAAACTTTCCCAGGGAGCAGGGACTTTTGGGGGTTATCGGCCAGATCTCTTTTCTATTGGTTCAAAACATAAGCTGCCCAGCAAATGTATGGCTCTCAGTTACCTTGTTCAAAACCTTCACAAATATTTAAAATAACCATCTCCTGTCTCACCAAGTGGGAGTGCACGGGCTTACGCACCCATCCCTTTTGACAGCTATTTAGTCTCCTGGTGTGCTGCAGTTAAGAACAGTGTGACTGCGCACACCAGCGTGCAATGTGGAACCTGCTTTGAGTCGAGACAAGACTCCCTCTTGTCTTGAAGCGGCCATGCTGAAACGTTACTAGGCAGGGTGAAGGGCACCCCGGCACCCCCAAAACTGCCTGCTCTAAATAGGTCCTGCCATCCACCGCATCAAGACAAAACAAACTCGAGTGTGTAAGACCTTCAATGGAAAGGAACTTTAATACAATTAGTGTGCAATAAAGAGAAGGGAAAGAATAGAGATGATAGTTTTTAAATTAAGCACCCAAAGTTACCCATCCCCTTGTGGGCAAATGTCCAGCCAAACACGGTTGGCCCAAAGCCGGACCGCTGAGGCCCGAAAGTCTGCCCCAAGTCTAAGGCACCTCCTGATGGGGGCCCGCAGGAAAGGGAAAGAAGGGGCCAGGCAAGCCTAGAAGGAAAAGAAGCGAATCAAAATCAAGGCTGCCATTGTCAACCTCCCCATGGGTCTTACCCACCTGTTTCAAGTGTGTTTTCATGTCTCCCAAGTCCCTGGTACAAGCCCAAGGCCAAGAAGCTAGCACAGCCTCTCCACGTCTCTCTGCCCCGTGTGCCTCCTCGGGTCTCCTTCTGGCTCTCCATCTCTCTTTATTTCTTCCCCAGTCTCCCAGCTCAGCTCAGCCCTTCCTTGGGCGGGGCAGGGAACCTGGCAACGCCCCTTTCCCTGGGGACCATCCTGCTACAAAACTTCTAGAAAAAAATTAAACAGCCTGACTCAGCCATTCCATGACTACATGAGAGGCCATTTGCAGACCTTGATGTGACCTCCACGCTGTAACTTCCTGTCCGGAGACTGTCACCCGCCCCAATCAGCAAAAGGGACTTAAAAACCAAACCCAGAATTTCACCACAAAGGACCTAACCTCAGGCCTGTTCCCTGCCTGACTCTAAACACTCCCTTAATTAAGCCCTGACCCTACTGGCACCTTGGACTTGCCCCTTAGTCGTGGACTAGAATCATGATTCCTATTTTCGAATAAATGCCTTCTGATGCTATGGCAGTCTGGTTGCTTCTTGGCCGATAGTTATATTTTCTATTCCTTTCAGAGATAGCGTCTCAAAATTGGCATTGTTGGCTTGAACAGCTAGCACGAAGGCGCCGGATACCCTCTGTAACTTCCTCCTACGAAAAACTGCCTCTCTGCAATCAGCCAGCAGTGAGTCAACGCTTCTGAATCTGACAAGCAGAATCACCTCACTTTTATTTGAATTTGCACTTCTGGGATTTCTGGTGAGGGTGAATTCCCCTCCCCATGTTCTGTGCGTTCTAAGCAAGACCTCAGGATAAGGAGTCTTGAGTTTTCCCTGTATTGTGCCTTATATCCACGGCTCTATCTGCAATGGAACTTCCCGGTTCCGTGCCAGGACCAGGCTCCTTGAAGCTGCTGCTCTCCACCCTCTAGGAACTGTGGCTTCTCTGGGTCTGGGTGCCTTCCAGCCACTGGCTGAGGTGAGAGATCATGGACACCTGTCTTCCAGGCGCCCTGCGGTGGCTCCTGCCACCATCATCTGCTGCCCCTGCACAGTGGGACACCAACAGGAACAAACATTCTCACAACAGAAAAGAGAAACTAAATAGGACCAGAGAAGAAACACTTTAAAGGTAAATATAAGGTGTTGTGTAAATTACTGCAGGCCGGGTAGGTTCACTGTCAGTTCTCCCAGATGAAGAGAATTTTGGAGGCTTAGGTGGATTTTTCAGGCCCTCAATGCCCCTGCAGAAAGGTATATACAGGCAGGCAGAGACTGAGCCAGAAAAGAGCGAGACTGACAAGCAGGGCAACTGAATTTCTAGCCTCCTTCTAACAGTTTTGTGCCCACACACAGCCCTACAACCGATACATTGTTGCAAGTACAAGGCCTATCTGTTGCTTGCCAGCTGGGTGAATTATGGAAACCATAGCATTTCAAGGTTATGGGCTGTCCGCTTGCTGTTTTGGGGGGTGGGGGTAGAGGAGGTGAAAAATAGCCTGATCAACTCATTTTCCTTACATGAAGGTTTTAAGTAAAACATGAATTTCTAAGGACCTAAATATCTGGCCAAACTTCCCACAAATTAGGCACAGGGATGCGGCTGGTCCCCTCTCAGGTATCTCCAGAACCGTCAGTTCTAATTTCTTCTCATCTGACAAGAGAAGTTACTCTGATGCAACAGCCCCTCCCAGGGTGCCATAGGAACGTCCTAAAACCACAAAAGGAAGTCATCTACCAAACCAAGCAGTCAGGTACCACCTCTACTCTCCCAGCAGTCACATGAAGTCAAATACATGGGCAGTTTCCATACTAGCAAAATACTTTATTTCATAATGATGAAACAAGGAAAGTAAAGATTTCTTTTTGGTGTATACCAGAGTAAAAGAAGTAGAGGAATAAGGGAATTAATAGGATTTTTATGTATTTTGACAACAACAAAAAGTTAACAATACCAACTGTTCGCCATAAAACTTATCATAGCTCCCCCCAACACATATATAAAGGATCGGTTTTAAAATCTATAAAAGTAAAAAATATACAGTCAGAAGCTCTAACGCTTATTCCATCTTTAATATAAAATTGTAAACATTTATTTACACAAAGCAAATATGTATAACAAAAGTCCGAGCACCCTTTTTGAGTCATGGCTCCTGGAAAATGGGGATCTATGCTGAAGGGAGTTGGTTCCTCCCCTGACCACCCCCAAACCAGGTTCATAAATAAAGCCACGGGCAGCTCCCTGGGAGGACCCCAGCATCACATTTTATTGCTCTGACACCACAGCAGGTGCGAAGCGCAGTGGGGCTAGGCAGCCCCAGGACTAAGGCAGGGCCGCCCCCAGGCGGGGAGGTGGAGTGCCCTGGGACAGAGGTGAGCAGCAGCCAGAGGGAGGCCAGGAGAGGAACAGGACTCATCACCAGCCTGCAGCCCCCGATTTTTGGTAGAGAACCTGCTGAAGTCACCTTCTTCCCCTTCAGATTGGGGAACTCACCCCAAGGTGGGAGTCTTTACTGCCTTTGATTCATTCCCTTCTCTGAGACTAAATCAGGCATCTGGGAAAGGCAGGGAGGGCATCTAAAGGGGAGATGGCCCAAACACCGCCTGTGGCGGCACATGGCTATTAGAGAAGAAGATCTGAGGGTGCAAGTACCCCCATGAAAGGCACTGCTGGTATAAAGTAACGACCCATGTGTGTACAACCCTCATCCCCTCAAAGCTGCTCACGCTGGTTTTGTGACTATTCTGCACAGCTCAAGTCTTTTCGTGGGATATTCTTTTCATGATCTGAGTGTCCAGGAAGAGAGAATGGGACTGTGGCTTCTCTGAGAACACTCTGCCTCGACAAGCCGCGCTCCTCAGCGCGCGTACTTTCTCTCCAGCGTTCTGTGTAGAAGGGTCTCACCCGTGCTCACCATCTTGCTTACATTACACAAAAGTGCACGCCACCTGCCTCTTCCACAAACAGCACACACCTAATACTCTGCTCTGTGGACTCTCAGCTTAGTCAAGTCCACTGATTCATAGACCTTAAAAGAGAAATCCATTTGAATCTTTGAAAGGACGTATTAGTGTTATAAAGCAATCCTCTAAAAAGTGCAAGGCGTCTGACCTGGGAGTGGCAGAAGTAGTAAAACAAAGTGGAATTCCTTCCTCTGGGCCTGGCCTGCAGCTTCCTACCCAACAGGGCACACCTGTTTTTCTCTGTCCTCCAGACCATTGCTTTCTGGGGAGGACACACCCCACCCCAACAAGGCTAGAGCTCCCTAAGAAATTTTAATGCCTCTTCTCTGTCCAATCGAACACACTGTTGCCTTAAAGTAGTTTTCTGTGTGAGCTGGGGGGAGCGCCAGAGGGGGCGGTGGAGAAGTACTCATGGGAAATGAAGACAGGGTAGAGAGACAAAATTTGTGCACAATTCAGCAATGATCACCTTCCCAAGGTTAAATACGAGTTTTCAGGGAAACTGCAGAAGGTAGGCAGTTGTAACGAAAGAGGATATAAAAATTCCAAATATTCGATTTCAGCATTATCTGGGGGTGTGTCTGGGGTCCTGCTACCATCACATGGAAGGAAGAGTCCTTGGGGGCCAGAGGCTGGTAAACACCAACACGGAAGCACAGCACTCTGGGAGGAGGAGGAGCTTCTGGAAAGACCACATCTGTGTCACCAGCTCAACTACCTCATGGCATCCTGTTCCTTTTTTGGCACACGCAGTCACAGCTTGTACTTCGGAAATGATTTTCCAATGACCCTCCCTTCCCCCTGAAAGCTGACGAAGCAGGAATAAAACTCCCCATCAGAAGGAAACCCTAGGTTTCCAGTTCCACTTAGTCAATTTAAACCACCACCTATCCTAATCTGTTATAAAAGCTTTTTAAAAAATTTAATCTTTTCTATGCTACAAATTGCAAATAGATCTGCTATATATAGTTTCAATAAAACTTGTCTCCAACACTGGGGCAAGTGGAGACATTTTTTTGATTAAGTCAACATGGTCGCACAGATTTCTGTAAGCCTGACATTGTGGGGTTTCATTGTTGTTACTGTTGGTTTTTGGTCACTTGGATAGAAAACCACCTGTAGAACCCTGTCCTGCTGTTCCAGCACCAGGTAAAGATGCCAGCAGATGGGCTGGGACCAGCCCGACGGACCATAACTGCTGGCTCAAGGTGGGCCCTGGAGACCTGGCCAGGGCCAGGCCTCAGCCCTGGGGCTCTGGCTCTACCCACCCAGCTCCCCAGGTTGTGGGTTTTTGGTCCAAAGAAGTTGCTCTTTCAAGAATCTGAGAACAAAAATCAGGATGTATGAATACTGAAAAAACAAATCCTTCCATTACTGAGGCCCTAAAAGGTCATCCAAATCATTCATCCACTCTTCCGAAGTCCTGTTCTTCAACAGTGAGTCGATCAGGTCGGTGTCTCCAGTCATGCTGGACAGTCCGCTGCTGCCCGTCTGCCCGCTGTAGGCAAAGGGCAGCTCCTGGCCTGAGGTCCGCACAGGATAGGCCTGGGGGCAGTGTAACCCTGATCGACCTCCCATCGGTTGGGCGGGACTCTGGCTGAAGCCTCCCAGCTCAGGTCCAGCTGGGCTCAGGCCTGGTAAGCCCTGCTGTGGGGTTCCCTGGGGAGGTGTTGGGGTGGGGGCACTGGTCCTCTGCTGTGCACTCACGGGGGGCAGCATGGACCCCACGGCAGCGGTCGAGCTCATGGGGGCCAAAGGCCTGCTGGGCATCCCTTGGGAGAACTGTGGGCTAGGCATTTTCAGATGGGCTTGCTGCATGTGGAAACTGGATGCTGCAGTGAAGGGGCTGACAGTGCTGTTGCCTGGGGTTTGCCCACTCAGGTTTGGCATTCCCTGATGTTGCCATGAGGGATTCTGGCCTCCCATGGCTGCTGACACCCTTGGGACCTGTGGCTTAGTTAAACCAGAGTTCAGGGTCCCCTTACTGTGCTGTTGGGAGAGGCCAGAGCTCCCCAGAGAGTTCTGCCCATACGCAGCTGAAACTGAGGTTTTCTGGCCCACACTGGTCTGCCGTGGAAGGTGGGCATGTCCATTGGTGGCCTGTGGCGGGGGCTGGGCAACTATTTGGGTTATGCCAGAGGCCATGCCATATAGGCTGCTCTGTGGCAAGCTTTGGGAGCCAGAGAACTGAGCCACACCCCGGTCTTGCTGGCCTGAGTTTGAAGGGAGAGAGGAAACCGAAGTGTGTCCAGGGCCCATTGGCATCAGATTTCCAGCCTGAGAGAACACTCGAGGACAGCTGGAGTTAGAGGGACCCAAGCTGTTCATGCCAGGCACAGCAGCAGAGGTTCCTAGAACAGAGAAGATCTGTCAATCAAACTGGCATTTTTGGACCACTATGGAGACACCTCCAAGACCCATGATGAAGCGGCTATACTACAGGTATGAAAGGCACTATCAGGACACCAGGCAGGTCAATGGAACCTCAAAAAAGAAAGCCCCAGGGGTCAGAGGGACAGTAGAGTCCCATGGGGCGGGGAGACTATCCTGGGGCAATGAGGAGATGAAAACAGGCCCAGGGGAAGGAGGCCCCAAGGACAGGGAGCCAGTGGACCAACCCCTTCACCTTTCAAAGGCCTGCCCATTTCTGCTCTGTGGGAGGTCCTATGCTGGTACTGGGGACTCCAGGGTCTGCCTTTGGGTGGTAAAGATCCACGTGGTGTAAGAGGGGTACTATGAAGGCTGGGCTGCAGGCAGTGGAAGCAAAGGGGACTGACTCGGTGCCTATGACAATTTGGGGAAGCTTCAGTGAAATGGTGACAATACACTGAGTTTCAAAAGCACAGAGGTTTAGCCATTTAATAGTTTGGAGAAACAGTATTCTAGGGAGAGAGAAGAGTGTGTGCTAGGGAAGAGTTTTGCAGTCTGTATAGGAACTCAAAGAGGCTGGCTGTGGCGGGGTGTGGGGTGTGGGGAGAGTACCCAGCTGGTTAGAGAGGAAAGTGAAGAGACTCCTGGGCGGATTCAGAAGAGCCATGTGAAGGGCAGGGCTACAAAGTCCAAGGATGGCTGGATCGCGGTGTGGCTCAGACGCTGCTAGGCAGGGCGTCACTCACTCAGGTGAGGGGTGCACACGATGGCAGTGCAGAGATGAAAGTGGGAGATCCAAAGAGCCCACTCTTTATATGCAGAATGACAAGACGGTGGAGAAAATGAGGGAGGAGTCTGAGCTGAAACTAGCAGCTATTTACCAAGCACTGACTCTGGTAGGCACTTCGCTGGGGAGACCAGACCGCACTGAGTGGGACAGCGAGGGCCCTGTGTGGGGTTTTGCCTTAAGCAGTGGCCACACTGCGGCAACACTGAGAAGACTTTTGTTGGTAGGAGAGTGATCACTTGGGTTTGGGCCAACCGAGCACTTTGTTTTGCCTTTCCCTCTCGCCAGTAACATCTATAAAAACAGGCTGGAGAAAAAAGGAGAGCTGAAACAGTTCATTTCACTCCTACTGAGAGCTGTGTGATGAAGTGGGATGAAGGGGGAAAGGTTCTAAGATGCCCATAGACTTCAACTCCACGTCGTCCCCCCAACTCTACGCGGTCTCCTGCAGAACACATGCTGGGCTGTTCTTTGGGACTCTTTGCAGTGAGAATCACCTACCAAGGACAGGCTTCTGAGATGCCTTGCCAAGACCTAGGTAGGAAGGTGCAGACCAGATTTTACTGCATCTGTCAGGTGAAATCTCCCCATTTCTGGAGCGATGCCTGCGCAATGCACCCCTGCAAATTTGGGGTGAGACTGCTAAGACCTCAGAGTGTGTCCTTTTTCTGTCCACTACTGATGCTGCCATTTGTGGCAGCAAAGTGAGCTGACAGAAAAGGAAGAAAACAGGCAAAAAGCCCTGCAAGCCCGTGGCATCCGTCCTTATCTGGAAAAAGGAGAGGATCCTTTTTTAAAGAGACACTTCATGGCAGCAGCAAGAATTACAGAAGCCATTTCCTGTTGATAAGCTGTCTCCCAATTACAAATTACTTTGCTTCAGAAGACGGTACAGCTGGGCACCAAAGTAATTTTAAAAGTCTCTATCAACCTCTTTCCTCCTGGTTTGCAGGGTACCCAGAAAGCAGGTTCTTCAGCAGACAAATGCCTCTGTGAGCAACTAGAGTAAAGCTGGGCAGACAGGAGGAGCCGTGCATGGTGCAGAGACCGCCCGGCCCTGACCAGTCCTACCTCCCTGCCCCCTCACCACTGCCTGATGCCCCCTCACCTGTGAACTGTCCGACCTGTTGTGGGAAGGTGCTCTGAGTTGGGTCTTGGTACTGGGGTGGTGGGCGGGTCAGATGGCGCTGAAACTGCTGCTTTTCCTAGAAACATCAAGAACGAGAGAAAAAAACAAAAAACCACATTAGAGGAGAAAAACAGCATTCGATTAGAGAAAGTTAACTGTCCAAAGTTTGTTATTCACAGATAGGCTCCTGTGGTGAACGCATTTGGGCTTTCTTTTTTTTTAAGGTAATTTTTTTTTTTTTTTAAAGAGGCATGTATTTTTATTTATTTATTTATTTGTTTGTTTGTACATGCACTGGGTATAGTCAGAAGCGCGGGAGGGGGAGAGAATTCACCAGAGCCAGAGCGGGGAGCAGAACAGGCAGACTGACGAAGTACACTGCTGAGGGGAGCAGCGGGCGGCAGGAGAGGTCTGCGCACCATGTGGGACCCTCCTCCGGTGGCCGGGGAGCAGCCGGGGATTGAACCGGCGCCTCAGAGGCCGCGGGCAGCTTCGCAACCCAGCGCTCAACCGCTGTGCCACTGGGGAGGCCCCTTTCTTTTTTTTTTTTAAACAAACAGTATGAACCAAAAAGATAGAACAGAGCTAAGGAGCAATGATTTAAGACCGCATATATGGGTGAACCCATTTAAAAATGGAAAGCAGATGAGGGAAACACAAACCAAAGCTGTGAGACACCACTTCACACCTGCTGAGATGGTTAGACTCCAAGGACAGGTAACAAGCGTGGGGAGGTGGTGGGCACGGGCGGCCTCACACACTGCTGCTGGAAATGTGAAAGGGTACAGCTGCTTTGGATAAGTCTGGCAACTCCTCAAAAAGTTAAACCTAAGAGTTACTACATGACCCAGTAATTCCCCACCCCCAGGTACACACTCAAGAGAACTCAACACACAGGGCAGCAAAAAGGGGAAACAGCCCAAAAGCCTATCAACAGGACGAAAATGGATACATAAAATGTAGCAGAGTTACACAACAGGTTACACAGCCATCAAGAGAAGGGAAGTGGGCCTCCCAGGTGGCGCAGCGGTTGAGCGCTGGGTTGCGAAGCTGCCCGCGGCCTCTGCGGCGCCGGTTCGATCCCTGGCTGCTCCCCGGCCACCGGAGGAGGGTCCCGCATGGCGCGCAGACCTCTCCTGCCGCCCGCTGCTCCCCTCAGCAGTGTACTTCGGTCCTGCTGCCTGTTCCGCAACCCGCTCTGGCTCTGGTGAATTCTCTCACCCTCCTGCGCTTCTGACTGTACCCAGTGCTTGCATAAATAAATAAATAAATAAATAAATAAAATCTTAAAAAAAAAAAAAAAAAGAGAAGGGAAGTTCTATACATGCTCCCTGACGGAAGCTTAGCACCTTGATGTGAAATGTCCATAATCCACAGAAAGAGAAAGCAAGTTAGTGGTTTCTCAGACCTGGGAGTATGAGGGAATAACTCAAATGTTTTGTGGGTATGGGCTGCTTTTTTAGGTGATGAAAACGTTCTACAATTAACTATGGTGACGGCTGTCTAACTTTGAGAATAGATTTAAAACCAATGACTTGGACACTTTAAATGGGTGAACTTCATGCTGTGTGTATTATATCCCAATAAAACTGTTATTTTTTTTAAAAAATGGCAGGACTGAGAGAGTGATGTGGGTTTTAAAGTCACCCTCAATCAACTCTATCCACTGGACAGCTGGCTGTCCTTGTGTCTTAATCCAGAGAATTCTTGTAACTTTAGTACCTGCACTTGGGGATGTGGATCAATTGCAGGGGGGAGGGGTATCGTCCACCTAATTCTGGAACCCCAGGATCTCAGGAACATCTTCATTTTCTTGCTTATAACATACTACATTTACAACAAAGCTGGAAACCACAGTGAACTGGCAGTATTTGTTGTCAAGGAACATGAAAAAAAAAGTCCCCAACACATGCAGTTTTAACCAGAGACCCTACCTTCATTAATCCCCACTAAGTGACTTAAACTGCTTCTGACACAGGCCACCCTGTCTGGGAAACGCCACTCTTCTAGAGAAGGACTTTTAAAGGGCAAAGTCCCTCTAACACCCGACATGCAAATGAGTACAAATCCACACAGCTGGTGGGCAGACTGCAGCTACTATGGTGACTATGGAGGCAAGTAAGGGTGGGTGGGAGGCCTTGTTTTCCATCTTTCTCTTTACCTGTTCAGCCAGAAGGTGCTGCTGCCTTTGCAAGAACTGCTGTTGCTGCAAATGCTTTTGCTGTTGCTCCCTCTGTTTCTGTTGGTCCAAAAGCAACTGGTGCTGCTTCATTACAGCCGCCTGCTGCTGGCTGCTGAGATAGGGGGTGTTGCTGTGAGTGCTGGCTGCAGATGCAGCGGGGGGCTGGGTCCCCACACTGGCGGCCTGGGCCGGCACAGGGACATTGGGAGGGTTCTGCTCCTGTCAACAGAGACAAAGGGATCTCAAGTCAGACACAGTGAAGTCCATGAATCCTGATCAGAGCAGATGTGTTGTACATAGTGAGCTTCTGGCTCTTGACGCCTCTGTCTCCTGGCGGATTGCTTCCCATGCAACTGACCTCCAGGGTGGGGGCAAAAACCAAAGCGCTAACACCTGCAGGTCCAGGCATAGTAACAAACTGGCCATGAGGTATATATGCATCCTATGATTTACCAGTGGCAAAGCTGTGAATTTTCATTAAACATATGTAAGCTTGTGTATTTGTATAGGACCATTCTGGCAAGCAGCTGCTGCTTATCAACACTGATGGAACACACGAGTGCGGCGGCACTGTGAGGAAGAAGGCTCCAAGGGGCTGTGGCTGAGGGAGACGCTCCATTCCATTCCAATCCTTGGGCCCCTGGCTGTGGGACTGTGCCTGAAGTGTGGGGAACTGTATCATTAGTCCACTGTGTACAGCAATTTTCTGGGAAGATACTGCCTAGTTTTTGTTGGATACTCATGCTGAGTAGCAGCCACTACTAACAGATATTCTCTATTAATACATGGACCTAAAGTAAGTCTTGTCAAGGGCTACCACAATATTCTTTCTAAAGAAAGATTTATTTATTTATGCATACAAGAGCAGGGTGTAGGCCAGAGCTGTGGGGGTGGCGGGGGCAGTGAAAGGATTGACCAGAGACAAGAGTGGGGAACAGAACAGGCGGATCGACTGAAATACACTGCTGAGGGGAACAGCAGGCGAGTCAGGCGAGGTCTGCTGCGCCATATCAGTTGGCTCCCTGGCCGGGGATGCCGACAGCTTCATAGTGCTGAGACTTAACCTCATGCGCCACCGGGGAAGCCCTACCACAATATTCTAATATCATCAGTAACATTTAAAAGGGGTGGCGCAAGGGGTTAAGTCTCAGCGCTATCAAGCTATTGGCAGCCACTGCAGCACAAGTTCGATCCCCAGCCAGGGAGCTACCCACATGGCGCAGCAGACCTCTCCTGTCTTGCCCACTGCTCCCCTCAGCAGTGTATTTCAGTAGATCTTTCTGTTCTGTTCCCCACACTGTCTCTGCTGAATCCTCTCGCACAAACATCCTCCCCTCCCAGCACCCCTGGCCTGTACCCCAGTTCTTGTATGCATGAATAAATACATCTTTAAAAAAAATTTAAAAGGGGAAATTTTATTTTTTAAAATTTATTTATAGGGCCTCCCTGGTGGCACAGGCGGTTGAGCACTGCGCTATGAGGCTGTCTGCAGCCTCTGCAGCGCCGGTTCGATACCAGCTGGCTGGCGAGAATCCCACATGGCGAAGCAGACCTCTCCTGTCTTGCCCGCTGCTCCCCTCAGCAGTGTATTTCGTCAGTCTGCCTGTTCTGTTCCCCGCTCTGTCTCTGGTGAATCCTCTCACCCTCCCACGCATCTGGCCTGCACCCCAGTTCTTGTATAAATAAAAAAAAAAAATCTAAAAAAAAAAATTTTAGTTATATATGTATTTTATATCATTGTTCCCTTTTAAAGGATATTTGCCTTTTTCCCCCTCTCAGGTGTAGTCCCCATAGAATTTCCTCCACCAGTTCACCTGTGCACCATCACCTCAGTCCCCTGTGCTCCTCCCTCCCTCCTTCCGAGCCTTCTCCCTCCCCCTCCCCTGCAGGATGACTCTGGTTTATAATTGTCTGTTTGGTTTTTTTTTTTTTAATTCACAATTTTTTTTAAAGATTTATTTATTTTTATACAAGAACTGGGGTACAGGCCAGTGGCGCGGGAGGGTGAGAGGATTCACCAGAGACAGAACAGGCAGACTGACTGAAATACACTGTTGAGGGGAGTAGCGGGCAAGACAGGAGAGGTCTGCTGCACCATGAGAGAATCTCCCTGGTTGTCCAGGAATCAAACCCGTACTGTGGAGGCTGTGGACAGCTTCACAGCGCTGCACTCAATCCACTGCACCACTGGGGAGGCCCATGTTTTGTACTGTTACTATTTTTCCCCCTGATGTCTTATTTAGTTCCCCTATATTCCTCCTATAAGTGAAACCAAACGATATTTTTCTTTTTCCTTCTGATTTATTTCACTGAGCATAATTCTTTCCAGGTCCATCGATGTTGCTGTGAATGGCATTAGTTTATTTTTTTTGGTTGCTGAATAGTATTCCATTGTGTATATATACCAGTCATCTCTTTCGGAGCATTTGGGTTGTTTCCAGGTTTCATCTACTGTAAATAGTGTTGCAATAAACATAGGGGTACAGGTATTCTTTTGAATCAATGTTTTTGTTTCTAAAAGGGGAAAATTTAAACCCAAACAGAAGAAAGGCAAAAAGCAATCATCATTCAATTAAGTTCAACTCTCTGAGCTCTTTGCCAGCATTTATTCATTGGTGTAATCTTTATAAGATTCTAAACTTAGAGCAGAGAGATTCTGATATAATTTCCTCACCCCAATCAGCAGAAGCTTAGAGCTACAAGAGTGCTTTGTGAAGTGCAAAGTGCTACTGAAATGGCAGTCATGTCACAGTGTGGCTCTTTAAGGCTCTTTTAAATGGCTATGCAGAAACATAATGGCTGAAATAAGCAAAAGGACACTGCCCCATGGAGAGACGTTTAAACTGATTCTAGTTTTTGGCTATTAGAAATAATCATGCAGTATCTTGTATATAACTTTTAGGCGTGAGGAATAATTTCTTGTAGGGGTGTAATAACTCTGCTTATAAACACTTTTATGGCTTATGAAAAATGTGTTATGTCAAATTACTTTCCAAAAGCATGGTGCCCATTTGCACATCTTAGCAGTAAATGGGGATGTCAATTTTCTCACAATGTCGCCAGATTGGGTTTTAATTTTTTTAATTCTAAAGTGTGTCACAAACACACCCCAGATGCTGATTGCAGGCTTAGAGTAGTGAAAAACAGGAAACAATGAGGGTATTGCACATTATACAGCTCTTGCTGCACAACTGTTACAGGTCCGAAGGGGCACACACGCACCCAGAAAAGATAGCGCAGCACCTGTGGAGGAAGAAGAGCAAGCGTGCTCCACTCTTTCTTTAAGGAAGCGGGGGAAGACTTGCTGTGTTTGTGCACACTACTAGCCAGCTTACCCCTAAGGCCTCCGGGGAGAAAACATTTCAAAGCATATTTGAACATGTGCAGAAATGCAAATAATGATCATGATAAAACTGGTATTTGACCACAGGTCACCTTAACAGAGCCATGTGAATTCACTGAGCTTAAGTATGACAACTATGTAACCATGGAGTTTAGATGTGTTGAGAAGCAGCACATACCTAGAAGGTTCTAAAGCTTACCAAGACTTAAGGTATTTTGAATACAGAGGCCTGAAAGGTGACCAAAAAGAAAAGCTTCTAAGCAGCACATTAAATGTGCTCTTTCCTTGCAGAATAGCCACAAACAGCTTAATTTAAGTTACATGGAATGAAAGAGACACCTGATTAAATACAGGTGATTCCCCAAATGTTTGCATAGTTAAAACGAAGTTATATTGTAGAGTTTTACCCTATTTTTATTTCTTAAGAATCAACCCAGGCGTCCCTGGTGGCACAAGGGGTTAAGACGCAACCTATGAAGCTACCCACAGCCTCCGCAGCACGAGTTTGATCCCTGGCCGGCCAGGGAGATGACCCACATGGCGCAGCAAACCTCTCCTGACTCACCTGCTGCTCCCTTCAGCAGTGTATTTCAGCAGATATGCCTGTTCTGTCCCCCACTCTGTGTCTGGTGAATCCTCTCACCCCCCACACCTCTGGCGTGTACCCCAGTTCTTATAGACATAATAAATCTTTAAAAAAAAAAAGAATCAACCCAAGTTTGCTTGATTAATTTTCTCTCTTTCTTTTTAAAGATTTATTTATTTATACAAGAACCCAGGTACAGGCCAGAGGCGCGAGAGGGTAAGAGAATTCACCAGAGACAGAGCAAGGAGCAGAACAGGCAGACGGACCAAAAAACACTGCTGAGGGGAGCAGCGGGTGAGACAGGAGAGGCCTGCTGTGCCATGTGGGTAGCTCCCTGGCTGGCTGGGAATGGAACCCGCGCTGCGGAAGCTGCGGACAGCTTCACAGCACTGTGCTCAACTCACTGCGCCACTGCAGAGGCCCTGCTAATCAATTTTCATTAATCAAGACTTCAATTTTCATTAAAGTCTAAACAACAGTTGCTCTCTGCCCTTTGTATCTTTGTTCCTTAACTCCCCGAGATCTGCAGCACCGCCCTAAGCATCTGCTGAGGAGAAACAGAGCAAAGCCACGTGCTCACCTGGCTAGGTGGAACCAGTGATCTGAAGGGCATGCTTCCTGGCTTTGGTTTCATTAGAAACAAGGAGTTCTGCTCGTTGCTCAGATGAGGCAGCTGCTGGGGAAGATAAGCCATGAGAGTCGTCTTGCTCTGGCCAACCCCAGGGCCACCTTGCCCGCAGTCCGCTTTATAATGAGAAAGGGGCTTGGTATTGCCATAGTCCAGCACTGACCCTTGGTTAGGCACAGAACTCTGATTCAAGTTACTTGGCGGCTGGTGAGTCAGCAGATTCACATGGCTGGGCTGAAGGTAGGGGCCTCCGGGCCGAGGGGAACTCTTGTTTATACTGGGCATCATGAGTAGTTTGGAGCTGGTGAAGTCTTGTTTGTAGCTGGGAGGGCTAGCAGGTTTCTCGATGGGATAAGGGACATTTAAGGGACTGTGGGAGGGGCCAGTCTGTTGCCACGTGGACATCTGGCCTGGGGCTGGTGCTGAGGTGGCCTGCTGTGGGTTCTGGAGCATCTGTTCGCGTTTCTGCTTGGCTGCGATCTGCTGGAGCTGGTGAGCAGAGGAGAGCTCTGAGGCCCCTCCTGGGCCTTGGCTAGGCAACACCACACCAGAGAGGGCTCTTTGTGCATTCTGGACCTGGGCTGATGCCGGCATCAGGCTAGAACTGGGATTGTCTGCCCCGGGCTGACCAGAGGTGTGGAACAGAGGCTGAGAGCCACCTAGGCTAGGTGAATCTGTGCTTGTAGGGCCGGATGAAGGTCCCATAAAGGTCTGTCCTGCAGACCCAGCTCTTACCTGTGGGGAGCCTAACTGTTCTTGTTCAAAGGCTGCTGGAGAGAATTCCGTCTTAATATTAATGTCCTGTGTCAACGGTGTCTGTGTGGCAGAACCAGAAGACTCTGGGTCTTTCTTCTCTTCAAAGTCCTCATTGAACAGATCCTTCATGTCTTCATCAGGCACTGACCTGTTTAGCTCCTCAATGAGCTCCTTCCACTCCTGCTCGTTGAGGTTGAGGTCAGGCATGAGGTTGCTCTGAGATATGGAGCCTCCAGCCCCTGCAATCATGCAAGGCAGGTCATCGACAGGCTCCTGCTTCAGTTCTTTATTCAGGCCAAGAGAAAACGACTCACTAGGGTTGCTGCCTCCATTCAGGTGAAGGCTGGAGTCTGGCAGACACTTCTTGTTGATGGAGTCCAGTCCCAGAGGGTGCTTCCCACTGGCCTGCAATGCCTCAGCACCAGGCTTGTCCGGCTGACCAAGGGGAGAGGCTGGAGGCAGGCCATTGGAAGAGACAGCTACTCCCAGAGGGGCTTCCCGGCGTGTCTTCTTGTGTCCAGCAAAGAGGTCCCCATAGCCATTCTGTTGATCGCCATTCTGAGGAGAGGTGGCACTATCCAGATTCCTCTTCACTGTGTCATGAAGATGCTGAAAAATAGGGACATGAGTGACTTACAAAACCTACATACAGTCCCTCAGCTTCCAAGAGGGGTTGGTATTCCTGGATCGCTCTCCTGCCGATTTTATTTGCCTGGCTTACATTCCCATCGGGGACCTCACCCTTGTCCCTACCCCACCCCCACAATGTCCTGCGGCCTTGCCTGCGTAGGAGGACTAGCTCAGCAGTAGCAAAGCAGCCCAGCTGCAGTCAATGCATCAGTCCCTAGACTGCTGCTGACCCTCCTTTTTTCAGGACACAAATCTAATGCTGCCCCTTGTCACGCCGCCTGAGGATGTGCCCAAGAATGGAGCCTGAGAAGGACACAGGCTCCAGGACACAGGCAGAGGTCACAGCCATTCCTGAGGACATCATCTGAGTCCTGGATCTGGCTATGCTTGAGACCAGCCAGCCCACGGACTTTACACTTATGAAAACCAACAAATTCTTTCTCGTGTTTAAGCCCGTTTAACTTGAATGTCTGTTACTTTCAGTGAGGGAGTGCAGCCAGGCTCTTTCTCAGGTCCTGCTGGAAGCTGATCACAAGCCCCAGGCAGGCCAATTTCCATGCTTTTCCCAGGCCTTCCCAGGCTTTCAAGGCAACCATGCCCAGCTCTACCCCATCGGGCGGGCTGTTTTTCAGTTTTGGTCCCATCCTCCTTTCCAACATCCTCCCCAAATCCCAGCATCTTCCAATCCCCGTGTCTAGTCCCCCGTCCATCACTTCTTATCAGGATCACACATTTTAGCACAACCCAGTCTTTTTGGCACCATTATTCTTCTTACTTCCCCACGTTCTCCTGATACACATTGTTTAACCTTACTAAGAGTCTATCCTGTGCCAAAGACAAGCACTGTGGGGATAAAGACACATGAGCCCGGGGCTTCAGGGGCTTCCAGCCTTCCAGGATGTGCGGCCTACATGGGCATGGCTAGAGAGTAAGATCCATGTCCTGTTTGTGCAGCAGAGCAATAAGCACCCTAAAAGACCAGGGGTGGGAGCGGGTTACACAGAGAACATGAAAGTGGGGGTGGGGAGGTGGTTCTGTTCCTTCCTTTCTTCCCCAGCCTGATTTCAGCTGTCAGAGCACAATTCCTCCACTGTCACAGGCGCCCACACTCGGCCTCTCAGCATATGTTGCTCCTTTCCTGTGTTTACTTTATCACATTTTTGTCCTCATCTTCCATCCCCAATTCTATCCCTCCCTCCTACTGCCCCTAAAGCATCTATATTTAGGAATGTTTTACAAAGTTCCAAATGAAAGGTTTCACTATCTTTCAGCAGATTTGAAAGGAGTCAGAGTGTAGCATGGTGACTCTGTGTTGTCCTCCTGCTGCAGAGACGGGCCACACTGACCCACCACACCTGCCCCAGGAGCCCCGAGGCAGACTTTGACCTAAGGGTTCTGCCCAAGGCAACGCGAAGGGCACCAGCTCTCAGCAGCTAGACACCCACTCGCACACATGCACGATAAGCAAGAAAACAAGGAAGGCAATTTTTTGAGCCTCTGAGTCCCAACTCCAATGCCCCCACTCCTTTTTGTCCCTCTTCAGGATTTTCTTATTTCTTAACTGCTAAAGCCCACTTCCTGATACTTTACAGATGTCAGCTGAGCCAGCATTTCTTTAAATCCACATCAAGATACCTAAGTTAGCTCAGAAAAAGAGGAAAGTTTAACAACTGGAACTGCAGGGCAGAGCTGAGCTGAAGGACCGGGCCCCTCCAACTGGAGGACAGCTGCTGTGTTTCCACAAGGGTTCTTCTGCTTCCTGCTGCCATCTAGGGGTGAACGGAACCAGGGTCCTAGATATGGAGCCTTTGTAAGATTTTCATGTTGAATATTTTTCTTTGGGGAAGGCAAATTCATACCCATTTAATAAGTCAGAAGGATATAAATCAAGTTGCTAATTTTTCTTATGTCTATTTTTTTGTGGAAAGCCATTTATTCCATGGTGTCAGGTTTGGGCTATCATAAGCCTGGGAGCTCAATTTTCCATTCTCTAAAGGGGAAGATGGAAACCTAAGAGGTCAAGGCACTTGATGAGTCAGCTGGCTGTCCCAGATTAGAAACAAAATCCTTCCTTGCCCTAACAATTATAAAACTACCACTCCCTCTTTCAATGTCCACATGCAAACAGCTGCAGACAAGTTCTGAAGTAACAACTCAATTTTGCAATACCAATTGCTTTTCGCCAAAGAAAACACTGGACCATTTTCTCAACTGCTCACAAATTTAACTGGAATGATACAGGCTGGGGTGGGGAGTGTGGAATGTGGTGGCCCTGGCAAACTGTTGAGCCTTGACCATTTGCAGGAGTGTCTGATACATGCAGGCACCGCAGAGGAAAGCAAAGATGAGAAAATGGTGGTGCCTAATCTACAGGCATCTATAAGAGAGATGGGAAAAAAGTCTGAACAGATTATAAATCATATATGAACATATACACAGCAGATGCCATAAAGCAGACAGGTCTCGGTGTCACGCTGTCAGCATGATCTAGTACCTCTGGATGCTCAGCTCAGAGGCTCCTTTTGTCACTACCCAATGGTCTCACAGGAGCAGAGTTCCAGAAAGATCCAGTTTGGGATAAGTGAATCTGGTGCTCACTTCTTTTGCAAGGGTGGGTGCAGGGAGTGTTTGCTGAAGAATACCACATGCCTGATGGGGAGGCCCTGCATGCTCCTGCAGTCAGTCTTCCACTAACACACCCTGGAGGCTGGCACCCACCATTTTCTGGTCTCAAACTCTGGGAGAGGGGCCTAAGGATATCAATGCTGCTTTGAGTTAAGCTAGAGTTGCACACCCTGTTTCCTCTGCTTGCCGTGCTCGCCTTACAGGATATTCCTTTGCTTAGTCTCCATTTCATCCCACTTCAACCACCCATCTCTGAAATTCTAGTGTGCTTTGTGATCAAACTTCCAGGAAGATAACACTCATCCTCTTCCATTTTGAGTTAACAAACAGATGTGACTTTTGAGAGAGGGGTGGCTCTCTCATCAGTGCTCCTCACTCATGGGCAGCCACCTGGGGCAGCCACTGCGCTTCCTGCCTCTGTCACTGGCAGTCACTTTTACTCTTCCCCCCATCTTCTGCAACCCTCCATCAGCTAAGCACCCGCCTCCCCCTCCAGACCAGCCCCTGGGGCGCTACGATATGGCCTCCATCCTTCTGGAGAATCAGTGGATGCTGGATATGGGAGATAAGAGAAAGGGAGGACTTAAAAGGACTGCAGGGATCTTCATGGAACACAGTCGGCATTATCAGTCTTTCCTTCTCCCTCTTCATCAGCTGCCACTTAAACATTCCCTCCTTCTTTAAAGTTCTCTTTCTGCATATTTCTTTACCACCCTTTTTTGCTGCTATTCTGTTTTTCTGGTTGTTTCTTGTCAGCCTCCTTGGAGGAAGGTCTCCCCTTCACATAAATATCAGAGTCCTTCCTCACCTCTTTTCACTCTCCACAGGAGAGATCGCATCCATTCCCATGTCTTTAAATTCCTACAAATTAACCTCACACTCAGAATAAACCCATTTGCCCAGGCCGTGCTCCTCTATCAGCTCTCACCATCTCCAGACTTTGACGGCTCCTCCCTATTGTACACCAGGCTTTCTTACAGTTCCGCAAATGTGCCTGCCCATTGCTATTTACGGGCACTTACTCTCCTTGCCCAGAACACTTCTTTCTTCTAATCTCCCCAGGGGAAGGTCATCTCCTAATTCAGGTCCCCCATCTCCCCAGTCATTCTCTGGTCACCTATGCAAGGCCCACATCACTCTATCCTATTCCTTTATTAGTTCCCCCACCAGAGGAACTAATTTGAGTGGGCCTAGCTCCCCCATTAGAACAAAGAGCAGAGACCCCAGCACCAAAAACAGTGTCTAGCACTCGATAAATATTTGTGAATGAGTTTTCTCTAACTGACCCACATCCACAGAGCTCCTGGTTCCTGTTTGCCCAAGTACCAACCACGCATGCTCTTCCTGGGTGTACCACAGATAAGTCACACTAAATCTAAACAAATCCGAAGCAGTTTCTCCTCACGCCTGTCTCCCTTTGCATTTTTCCTACCTCAGAGAAAGTCACTACCATCTACCCTGTGACAGAAGCCGGAGAGTCACTCGCTCCCTACATCCAATCAACACCCTAGTCTGACTGAGTCCACCTCCTTAGCACTGCTTTAACTCACCCACTCCTCTCCATTCACAAATACCAATTTTTCTCCCTTGAATTATTTTAACCACATCTAAAGCCAGTCATGCTGACACCCCCACCCTCGGCTACATCCCATACCACTGCCTGAGTGACTGTGCTCAAGGGCAAAGCTGACCACATTGTTCTCTTCCTTACAATGTTTCAGTGGCACCTTGTAACCCTCAGGCCCTTGTAATCCTGAGTGCGGCTCCACTGCCCCCTACTGAACTCCCCATCAAATTTCCAAGCATTCCCATCCTGCACTCCAGTGATGCAGCTCACTGCAACACCTCAAAAGAACAGGCTGAAACATATAAAATCATGATTTTTAAAAGGCAATGATGGTCAAATACTGGTAATTTCAACTTGTTGTCACACTTGCTTTTCCTCTTCTATGTATGTGTTACTCAGGGTACTCTCAGGAGCCTAACTGTAGTTGGAAAAGATCCTCTCCAGGCAAAGAGGACCTAGAACTTTTCATGTAATATTCAAAATTTCAATGCTTTGGAGGGAAAACCTGGGAAATCCACGTCAGGCAGCAACTTTGGTAAGGCACAAAATTGAGCCAAGGGCTACAAGGACAAGTCATCAGTACTTCAGTGTGCCATGACAGCTGCTCTGTACCCGTACTTAGGCACTTCAACTGATTCAGGATCTTATTCAACTTCAAAGGCACGCTGAGAATGTGCATCATTATTTTTGTCTTATAGCAGACAAAACTGAGAAGGTAACATGAGGTTTCCTAAGGTTTGAGCATCCAGAGGTCTTGGGAGATCTGCTGTCCTGTCCCTCCCTGTGG